GATCATGACCTGAGCCGAAGTCAGACACTTAACCAACTGAGCCACGCAGGCGCCCCAACATTATGCTAAATTTTAAAAAGCCAGACAAGAAGACACATTATCAGGGATACCTGGTTACTCTTGATCTTGAGGTCCTGAGTTCAAGCCTCTAGTAGGGTGTAGAGCTTACTTAAAAAAGGCAAAAAAACAAAACACCTACCCACACACATATGATATGATTCCATCATAGGAAATGGCCAGAACAGGCCAATCTATAGAAACAGAAAGTGGATCAATGGCTGCCAGAGGCTGAAGAAGGGGTAATGGGAAGTAACTGATTTCCTTTAGGGATGATGTAAACATTCTGAAATTAGACAGTGGTAATAGTTTTACAGCTTTGTGAGTATACCAAAAGCCACTCAATTGTGTACTTCAAAAGAAGGGATTTTATGCTATGTGAATTATGTATCATTTCAAAATAATGAGTGAAGAAATTATAAAAGAAAAATCTGAAAACTAGATATTTGGTGATACTAATGTTTACAGAATCCCAAATGATCAAAGAACGATAAAATGAGTAGGCTAAAGATTAAGAACAAGGCTGGGGCACCTGAGTAGCTCAGTCGGTTAAGCCTCCAACTTCGGCTCAGGTCATGATCTCACGGTTTGTGGGTTCCAGCCCCGCATCGGGCTCTGTGCTGACTGCCAGCTCAGAGCCTGGAGCCTGTTTCAGATTCTGTATCTCCCTCTCTCTCTGACCCTCCCTTGTTCACGCTGTCTCTCTCTCTCACTCTCTCTCTCAAGAAATAAATAAAACATTAAAATTTTTTTTAAAAAAATTAAGAACAAGGTATTCACATAGGTGCTAAGTATCTCTCCCCAAATAACTTATTACATACAAAGGGACACCACCCTGACCAAGTCATCAAACTTACCACAATCGATATTAGGACAAACCCCATTACGTGTCTCCTAATATAATGCATAAAGAGGGATACAAAAGACTAACGTGGCATATCTACAAAAATTGCACAGCCTTCAAAAACATAAGAAAACACCCTGAATCTAATCATGAGGAAACATTAGACAAACACTAATTGAACAATGTTCTACAAAATAATGGGCCTGTTTTCTTGAAAAATGTTAAAGTTAAAAAACACAAAGAAAGACTGAGGAACTGGTTCCATATCAAGGAGACAGGGCAATAAAATACAATGTGTGAGTCTGGATTTTATTCTAAACAAAGAAAAACAGGGGCACCTAGATGGCTAAGTTGGTTCAGCATCTGACTCTTGGTTTCAGCTCAGGTCATGATCTCTCAGTTTGTGGGATCAAGACTTGCACTGGGCTCCACAATGACAGTGCAGAGCTTGCTTGGGATTCTCTCTCTGCCCCTCCCCTGCTCACGTACATCCTTTTTCTTTCTCAAAATAAATAAATAAACACTAAAAATAAATAAATAAGGGGCACCTGGGTGGCTCAGTCGGTTAAGTGTCCGGCTTCGGGTCAGGTCATGATCTCATGGTTCATGAGTTCAAGTCCCACATCTGCACCACCAGTGCAGAGCCTACTTGGGATTCTCTCTCTCTCTCTCTGCTCCTTCCCCACTTGCACTCTCCAGTGCGCATGCATGCACGTCCTCTCTCTCAAAATAAATGATTAAAATTTATAAATAAATAAATAAATATAAATAAACTAAGAAAAAATATACACAGTTATAAAGAACACCATTAGTACATAAAATATGATTGAGGACTACAAATACTGGTTTTGTGCGAATATTAGGTTTCCTGCATTGTTTACTATACTGTGGCTATGTAAAATAATCTCCTTGCATTTAGGAAAAACACACTGATGTCTCCAACTTACTCTCAAATGATTCCTTTTATACATATAAAAAGAATGATAAAGTCAATAGGGCAAAATGTTAATTGCTGAATCTGGGTATAGGCTATATGGGAGTTCCTTGTATGGTCCAGCACTTTCTGTATGCTTGAATGAGGCCATATCTTTTAGAAATATATACTAACGTATGTACAGATAAAAATAGTAAGCTTTCTCTGATGAGCTTCAAAATAAGGGAACAAGTAGGGGGTCCAGATGAATTAATTGGTCATTTACTGAGAACTGTTAAAGCAAAGTAATGGAAACATTAGGTGGGCTACACACTTCTCTGTACTTTTGTATATCTGAAGTTTTCTGTAATAAAAAATTTTAGAGGTGTCCATAATGGAAAGTTTTTTAAGCAGAGAAATTGAGGCTCAGGAAAATTAAGCCCAGTTTTGAAATCTCCCAAATACATGATTCGCTCTCCATTAATCCTCCTATACAACCTCTTTATAAAGCAAGAACTATTCAGGCCATTTTATTCTCCCCACCTGAAATTTTGGTCAATACCAACAGAAATACAGTAAGATACTTCTAACTCCACCATACTTAAACATTTAGCTACCTTTAAGAATAAAGTCAATAAATAATAGAAGAAACAAGCAAATGTAGATAGAAGTAATCTACCCAATGACCTACAAATTGCTGAGAAGGTAGAAAAACCAACTGAGGGGCACCTGGGTGGCTTAGTCAGTTGAGCAGCCAACTTTGGCTAAGGTTATAACCTCACAGTTTGGGAGTCTGAGCTCCTCGTTGGGCTCATTGCTGTTAGTGCAGAGCCTGCTTGTGATCCTCTCTCTCCCTCTCTCTCTCCTCCTCCCCAGCTCACGCTCTCTCTTTCAAAAATAAATAGAACATTTAAAAAAAAAAAAGAGAGAGAGAAAAAGAAAAACCAACAGATATCTAAAAAAAAATTTTTTTTATGTTTACTTACTTTTCAGAAGGGGAGACGGAGGAAGGGGGAAAGGAGAAGGGACAGAGGGAGAGGAGAGAGGATTCGAAGCAGGCTATGCACTGAGTGGAGAGAGCACCATGTGGAGCCTGAACTCACAAACCATGAGGTCATGACCTGAGCCAAAGTTGAGACGCTTAACTGAGCACCCAGGTAGCCCCTCTCTTAGATCTCTTAAACGTGACTTCTAAGAGTCAATACCAAGGGCCTATTCAATTCTGATTTTCTACATCTACAAGCCCAAAATAGCACCAAAATGTGGCCATGCTGAGACTCTCCAAGAACAGTTAGCAGAGACAGTGGCACCCGGGTGGCTCACTCATTCAAACGCCCGACTCTTAGTTTTGGGTTAGGTCACAATCTTGCAGTTGGTAAGACCAAGCCCCGAGTCGGGCTCTGTACTGACAGCAAATAGCCTGCTTGGGACTCCTCTCTCCCTCTCTCTCTGCCCCTCCCCTGCTTATTCTTTCTCTCTCTCAAAATAAACATTTAAAAAAATAATAAAAAGTAGTATTTTGGTCTCATACAGGAAGGACAAACAGGAATGCCCTGAATCTGCCAATATATAATTTGTAATTATAGAACAACTCACATCATAATAAACACTTTTTATACAAAAAAACATTAATTTAAAAACACTATGAACTACAACAGAAAATACAGTAGGAATTTAACTTATGAGACAACCAATCTGCCAGGCTAAACCAGCAACACAGTAGGTAAATAATTATCACACAGATACAGCATAAACCTGTGTACACAACTGCCTCCCCTACCCCACTACCAAAACACTTGAGAAGCTTCAGGATCCCCAGAACCAGAGCATTACAGATCACAGTGTCAAACTGAAAAAATTACAGACATATAATGGCCTAGACTCATATATTTTATAGGATGAAAATGGCTTTCAAAAGCTGTACTAGGGCGCCTGGGTGGCTCAGTCACTTAAGCGTTCGACTCCTGGTTTTGGCTCAGGTCATGAACTCATGGTTCTGTGAGCTTGAGCCCATGTCAGGGTCCATGCTGACAGTGCAGAGCCTGCTTAGGATTCTCACTCTCCTTCTCTCTGGTCCTCCTGCGTGCTGTCTCTCTCTCTCAAAATAAATAAATAAACTTAAAAATAAATAAAGTACTGTACTTATGTTTCACATCTTCTTTCTTAAAATTTAAGTCATTTTTCATTTATGATTGTGTTTATTGTTTAAAAAAAATTTTTTTTAATGTTTTATCTATTTTTGAGAGAGAGAAAGAGAGACAGCCTGAGCAGGGGAGAGTCAGAGAGAGAGGGAGATACAGAATCTGAAACAGGCTCCAGGCTCTGAGCTAGCTGTCAGCACAGAGCCCGATGCAGGGCTCGAACCCATGAACAGTGAGATCATGACCTAAGCCGAAGTCAGACACTTAACCGACTGAACCACCCAGGTGCCTCTGTGTTTATTGTTTTAAAAAATTAAAGGGGTGGAACACCTGGCTAACTCAGTTGGTAGAGCATGTGACTCTTGATCTTGGAGTTGTGAGCTCAAGCCCCAAGTTAGGTGTAGCAGTGACTTAAAAATAAAATCTTTTAAAAAAAATTAAATAAAGGTTAAGTTGAAAAGATTAAAAATAATAAGATAAAAAAATAAAAGGAGCTAAAATATGCCAAAGCTATTGATTGGGGGGAAAACATACAATTAATCTACAAAGAAGGGCTCAGAGTTGCAACTGACATCACAATATCTAAATGCCACTTTGCACTTCTCCGGCAAATCTTTTTACATACAAACCTAATATACTGTACATATGATAAATACTCAAAATTTTTAAAAATGTAAATATTATCCAGTTGTTTCAGAGGGGGGGAAAATGCCCTCCAAAATATCAATGAAGTATAAATTGCCTCATCCCCAAACCCTTACAAAACCACCAGTAAAAACTGAGGATGGCAAAACACTATGCTGACTATGCAAAAATCTACTTGCAGAGTTATTTCAGTGTATTGACTAATAAGCATATGATACAACCTAAGAAAATATATACTAAGGCCAAGTACCACCCAAAAAATTACTCCCACCTAAACTAAGAGGAACACAAATGGAAAAGCAAAAAGGTTAAAAAAAAAAAAAAAAAGGATTTTTCCTCCTATCATGGAAAACAAAAAACTTCAAACATTTTTTAATTAAAACAAGACAAATTAACTTACTAGCATGCTTGTCTGCAAGCATTATAAGCGTGTTGGAAATATCTCGCCGTCTATAAAAGCACACTACTTTTGCTTCCACGTTGCCAGTTGCGGTCTAAGAGATAAGAAAAATAAAAGTTATATGTACTGAAGAATAGACTCAAATAGTTTACAAAACTAAATATAACACAATGACAAGATCAATCTCATTTACACTGTGCCAACCACAACTACAGGATAATCAGAGAGCTAAAAAAATTCCAACGAGGATGTGCAGCATTTGCAAAGGTTCCAAGTTAAACTGAAATGTCAAACACAGAGTAACTTACTGGCATCAATTAATTTAAAGTGATCACACTCCTTTCATGGCTAAAACCAGATAGTTAAATCTGCTTCGCCCTGAGAAACTAATCCCCCAAAGTTTCAGAGCCAAACGTAAACTTATTTCAGACAGTAAAACATATCTCCTTCCAAACCCACTCCAGAAGCACAGACTACAAGTAAAATCATCCGGCCCTCTCCTAAATGCTCCCATGTTTCACTGATGATGAGACCCTGTAGGTGCGGGCAGCTGTCACACAGAATGGAGCAGATGACCTGGAAAAGCATTCTCCTGCCCTGGTTAAGTCTATGAATCTGTAATAGTCAATCTTCTCAGTAGTACTTAGTTGACTTTCACATATGAAAGTATAAAAAATATGAGTTATGAACGCTGAAGTTTTTATTTATTTTTGACTACAGTCCAGAATACAAACAATATTCAGTTAGGCTGTAATTTGCTGCAGCTGGGGCCCAGGTTCCTACTCTCCTATTCATTATGAATTCTGAGAACTTTCAAGGTCAGTCATTAACTACAAACCTCCTTGTAAAAACACATAGATTACAGTAAAATGATATTGTCATTTCCAATTTCAAACAAATTTGAGAACAGATTTTCAGAATTTCTCTGTGCTTACAGATATATTCAGACATAAAGAAATAAGAATATACATACGCTGCAGTATATCTGTCAATTTTATGAAGTTCAGCAGCAGTATTTTAGAGTGAGAATAGTCATGGAGAAATATTGCCCTTTGAATTGAACTCATATTAAATCCTAATCGAAGTGCTTCTATATTTCACAATATTGTGATCAAATACATCCTCCAGAAGTAATGATCCAGCAATCTAATAAATGAACAGGCCAATATTTCTTGTAAATAAAATCTATCAATGACTACAATTATAAGCTCTTTATCAGTTTTGCTTTAAGACCAAAGTACATTCAAAGCCCAATGCAAGTGTTTAAAGGCATAGTTTTTCAGCCTTTCTAGTGAATTCCTCCACTAGGAATACTATACAAAATATAACTCAAAACTGCTTGGGGTGGAGGAGCACAGTTCAAAATAAATGGTCTCACGGCACCTGAGTGGCTCAGTCAGTTTAGGATCTGACTTTGGCTTAGGTCATGATATCACGGTATGTGAGTTCCAACCCCACATCTCATCAGGTTCTCTGCTATCAGCGCAGAGCCCACTTCAGATCCTGTCTCCCTCTCTCTCTGCCCCTCCCCCACTCATTCTTCTTCTCTCTCTCTCTCTCAAATATAAAAAATAAACATTTAGGGGTGCCTCAGTGGCTTAGTCCATTGAACATCTGACTTCAGCTCAGGTCATGATCTCGTGGCTGGTGAGTTCGAGCCCCACGTCGGGCACTGTGGTGACAGCTCAGAGCCTGGAGCCTGCCTGGGATTCTGTGTCTCCCCCCTCTCTGCCCCTTCCCCACTTATTCTCTCTCTCTCTCTCTCAAAAATAAACTTAAAAAAAGAAAATTTTAAAAATAATAACAAACATTTTTTTAAATAAAGGCTCTTCTGGACCATGCACACACTTGGCTATCAGGTAGTTTATTAACTACAGTATTCCTCTTCCCCTCCACAATGACTCACATACAACACACACACACACACACACACACACACACACACACACAACCTCAAACATTCCTCTAAAGTTGAGCTACTCAAACAGTGGTCCAATGCCCTGTCTACAATTGTTGCTGTGTAATGAGAACAGGGACTGAGAGTGTGTATTAGAGCACCTGACAGTTAATTTTAATCTATTGAACCTAATAATGAAAAATGAAGGCTTGTGGTTTTATAAGCCTATTTTTAAACTTCATTTTTCTACTATTTATTTTTATTTTATAAAAGTAGTCTGAGATAGTGAACATTCTTAAAAATCTTTCACCACAGGGGTGCCTGGGTGGTTCAATCAATTGGGCATCCAACTCTTGATCTCCACTCAGGTTCAGGCTCAGTGCTAAGAGTGCAGAGCCTGCTTGGGATTCTCATTCTCCCCCCCCCCTCAAAACAGATACATAAATGTTAAAACAAAAAAATCTTTGGCCACAAATAGTTCGCCAAGCACTGTTCTAAAAACCTAGGTTAGGAGCGCCTGGCTAGCTCAGTCAGTAGAGCATGACTCTTGATCTCAGGGTTGTGAGTTCAAGCCCCACATTGGGTGTAGAGATTTTTTTTTTTTTAATGTTTTATTTATTTCTGAGAGAGAATGAGACAGCGTGAGCAGGGGAGGGTCAGAGAGAGAGGGAGACAGAATCCGAAACAGGCTCCAGGCTCTGAGCTAGCTGTCAGCACAGAGCCCAACGTGGGGCTGGAACCCACGAACCGTGAGATCATGACCTGAGCCGAAGTCGGACGCTTAACCCACTGAGCCACCCAGGCGCCCCTAGAGATTACTTTAAAAACTTGAAGAAAAAAAATATTTAGTATATATAAAAGTCTGATTATTCTTTCAAGTCACCACATGTCTTCTGAGCCCTTCCTCTGTGCCCTCGCACTGAGCTAGGCTCCATGGATACACAGTGCCCACCCTCACGGAGCCTCCACTCCAGCGAGAATGTCTGTTCACATCATCTCATTTCCAACCCTCTAAAGCCCAGTTGGAATCATGTCCGTCACCTGATTAGAAACCTTCACCAGTTCCCTACAACTAAAGCATACGGTAAGATGTTCCTGACAATACTGACAGCCTTATTTTCCTTTACAACTTCCCTTCGCCTCCAGACTCTACTTCTCTCCCTCATGGAAGCAGAACAACCTGCTGGGGGAAGGCAGAAAAAGCCTCATGGAGGAGGAAACTGGGCAGAGAGTTCTAGGAAAGAAGGAAAGGAGTTCAACAGGATGGAAAGCAGAGTGTCCAAGAAAAAAGAAGGACTAAGCAAAACCACATAGGTGGGAAAACCAGATATATGTGTAAAGAAGAGCCCACAGTGGATGTCAACTTCTCTGTCTTCTTTTCTCCATGTACATTGCAGCCACTTAAATTCCTGTTCTGTCAAGCATATTTACTGAAATATCCTCTAGCAATAAGGGGCTTTTCTTAAGCTCTAAGATCATTTTAGTCAACCTCATACTCACGTCTGTTTCTATCTCAGAGTTAGAAAGTACATTATTTAAAAAAAAAAAAAAAACCCACACACACTTTCCATTTCAGAACATCTGTGGTTTGCTCATACTAAAGAACAAGTGAAAAGGTACTTTCCCAATTTCTGTCCTTATTCCCAAGAGACCCAAAGTGGTAGGAGAGGTCTCAACTTGGATTTCATGAAAGGGCTTCAAGGGACTGTCCTGAAATTATGTGCAAATGTAGATGAAGGCAGAGGGTGGCATCAGATTCTCAAAGAAATTAGTGACTCCCCTCTCCCCAGCAAAAAAACATAAGACTAGAAACAGTAAAATGAATCTCAGAGCAAGTCATATGGCTAATATACAGAATATGAAGGTACAAACTATATAACATACACACCAAAAAAATTTTTATGTGCACACAACTTTCTCTCAACATGCATGCAGACACAATCTTTTTCTTTTTTTAACTTGAAAGAGAGAAAGAGGAAGAAAGAAAACAGCAGAGTAGGGGAGAGGGACAAAGTGAGATACAGAATGTTAAAAAGGATCCATGCTCAGCACAGAGCCCAACAGAGGGCTTGATCCTAAGAGCTGGGTTCATGACCTGAGCTGAAATCAAGAGTTGGCCGCTCAACCAACTGGGCACCACCACCATCCCCATGCCGCATAAGTACAGTCTTTAGAAGTAGGAGCAACACCCAACCTAGATAATGACTGAATAAAATTTACAAAAGTTGTTTTTATTTTAATCTTATATTCATCCTCCAAAAGATCATCTTCACAAGGGGTGCCTGAGTGGCTCAGTCGGTTGTGTCTGACTTTGGCTCAGGTCATGGTCTGTAGGTTTGAGGGTTTCAGCCCTGTGTCAGGCTCTGTGCTGACAGCTCAAAGCCTGGAGCCTGCTTTGGATTCTGTGTCTCCTTTTCTCTCTACCCCTCCCCTACTTGCTCACGCGTCCTCTCTCTCTCTCTCAAAAATAAACATGAAAAAAAGTTTAAATAATAATAAAATAATTTTTAAAAAAACCTACATTCTATTCAGAAAATAATTAATAGGGGTGCCTGGCTGGCTCAATTAGAAGAACATGTGACTCTTGATCTCAGGGTCACAAGTTCAAGCCTCATGTTAGGTGTAGAGATTAAATAAATAAAAACTTAAAGAAATAAAAGAAAGGACATTAACCTATTTTAGTAACTATCTTCTTAATATTTATTTATATTTTATTTTTTAATTAAATTTTTTTTAAATTTATTTATTTGGAGTCAGGGAGAGAGAGCACAACCCGGTGAGGGGCAGAGAGAGGAGAGACAATCCCAAGCAGGCTCCAGGCCATTAACGAAGAGGCCCATGTGGGGCTGGAACTCATAAACTGTGAGATCATGACCTGAGCCAAGATCAAGAGTCAGACACTTAACTGACTGTACCACCCAGGTGCCCCAAAATTTATTTATTTTTAGTAACTTCTACACCCAACATGGGACTTGCATTCACGACCCTGAGACCAAGAATCGCATGTTCCACTGACTGAGCAAGCCAGGGACTCCTAGGTTAATGTCCTTTCTTATCCTGGCTTGTCAATTAGAACATATCAAGTACTCTTAAATTCATTATTGGGATTTTCCATCATGTTAATATTCCCCACTTTGCCAACTTGACCTGAGGCTACTCTTAGGGCCTGGATCTGGAACACTTGTGTGGCCTATCTCCCATGGCTACCTCTTTCTTATCCTTTAAGACTCAACTCCATTGGCATCTTATGTGGCTCAGTCAGTTGAGCATCCAGCTTCGGCACAGGTCATGAGATCATGCCTTGTGGGTTTGAGCCCCCCACTGGGCTCTGTGTCAACAGCTCAGAGCCTGGAGCCTACTTTGGATTCTGTGTCTCCCTCTCTCTCTACCCCTCCTCTACTCATACTCTCTCTCTCTCAAAAATAAACATTAAAAATTAAAAAAAAAAAAAAAAAGACTCAACTTTAAGTGTCCTTAAAATCTTTTCCCCTTCTGGGGCACCTGGGTGGCTCATTCGGTTAAGCATCTGACTCTTGGCTTCAGCTCAGACCATGATCTCATGGTTTGGTTCATGAGTCCAAGCCCCTTGTTGGGCATTGCACAAACAGTGCGAAGCTTGCTTGGGATTCTCTGCCTCTTTTATGCTCTCGTTCTCTCTCAAACATAAATAAACTTTAATGAAAAAATTTCCTTTGGGGAGCCTGGGTGGCTCAGTTGGTTAAGGGTCCAACTTCAGTTCAGGTCATGATCTCACAGTTTGTGGGTTTGAGCTCTGTGTCAGGCTCTGTGCTGACAGCTCAAAGCCTGGAGTCTGTTTCAGATTCTGGGTCTCCCTCTCTCTCTGCCCTGCCTTCCCCCCCCACTAATAGTCTATCTCTCTGTCTCAAAAATAAATAAACTTAAAAAAAATGTTTTTAAATCCTTTGCCCTACTATCCAAAAAAAGTGACCTTTGCTATTCTCTATGTCAAGGCTCTTGTTTATTTCCTTCTTAAAAGTTAACATCATTTTCGCTATTTTTTTTCATACCTGGTAACTTGTCTTTTCATTTGCCTCCCTCATGACACTGTAGACCCTGAGTGGGCAGAAAATACTTTCACATTGTTCACTGTTGTATATCTGAGCTAGCCTAGTGCCTGGTATACAAAAAGTACTCAATAAATATTTGTTTAATGAATTATTTAAAATTGGATATCTTGGGGCACCTGGGTGACTCAGTCAGTGAAGCGTCTGACTTCAGCTCAGGTCATGACCATGCAGTCCATGAGTTCAACCCCACATCGGGCTCTGTGCTGACAGCTCAGAGCCTGGAGCCTGCTTTGGATTCTGTGTCTCCCTCTCTCTCTGCCTCTCCCCCACTCATGCTCTGTCTCTCTCTCAAGAAGGAATAAACCTTAACAAAAAAAAATACTTCTTTTAAATAAATAAAATGAGATATCTTTGGGCAACTGGATAGCTCAGTTGGTTGAGCGCCCAACTTCAGCTCAGGTCATGATCTCACAGTTTGTGAGTTCGAGCTCCACACTGGGCTCACTGCTGTCAGCACAGAGCCCACTTGGGATCCCCCGTCCTCCCTGCCCCTCCCCCACTGGCATCCTCTCAAAAATAATTAAAAAACATTTTTTAAAAATTAAAAAAAATGAGATATCATTTCCACATCTCTTCAAAAATAAAGGCCCTATATACATATTTACTATTTAACACTAGTCAATCTTACTTATTTACCCAATAATCCATCTATTTAAACTGCCACTGTCTGAAATTACAGACTCCAGTCTCTCACAGTTCAGTAATCCCCAGCCTCCCAAAAACCATTATTACATTAAGGACTCTCTGCTAAAAGCAGAGGACCAGGAAGAAGGTGAGGATGGGAAGACAAGGGTACTTTATAATTTTTTTAAGTAGGCTTCATACCCAGCACAGAGCCTAACATGGGGCTTAAACTCACAACCCTCATATCAAGACCTGAGCTAAGATCAAGAGTCAGAGGGTTAACAGACTAAGCCACCGAGACACCCCCTGTTTTTCAAATAATAATTTAATATTATTATTATTACTACTAATTTAAGTAGGTTGCACACCCAGCATGGAGCCCAACACAGGGCTTGAATTCACAACCCTGAGCTCAAGATCTGAGTTGAGATCAGGAGTCGGATGCTCAACTGATTGAGCCACTCAGATGCCCTGAGAGGGATACTTTTGAAGTGAACAGTAATATGACAATAAAGGAGTGTGAAATGAGCCAGGTTCAAGCTAGACAGTACAATCCAGTCATTACCACTGCATACCTCTCAACAACACTCCATGATGCATCTACCTTAAAGGTTTAAGATTATTTTGAGAATCAAAAAAAATAACAAATGTGAATCCCCAGATTATACGCTTCCAGAACACCATGCCTGATGGTTGGAAATTTAGCACAGCTGCAATTTTCCTTCTAATTGTGGGATACTTTGGCTGATGATTGTCTCTACTACTGGATCTATTTTTGCTCACCCCTGAATTCCTAAAACTGCATATCTAAAAATGCCTGGCAGGTAACAGGTCCTCAGAAATATCTGTAAAATGAACGAATCAAAATAATTTGTAAACAGTAAAAGCTATGTGCAAGCATTAACAACAGACATTGGAGAAACCATTAATTCAACAAATATTTACTGAATGTCTTAACCATGTACCAATCACTTTATTCTTTTTTTTTTTAATCTTTTTAATGTTTTTTATTAACTTCTGAGAGAGAGAGACCGTGTGAGGAGGGGAGGGTCAGAGAGAGAGGGAGACACAGAATCTGAAACAGGCTCCAGGCTTTGAGCTGGCTGTCAGCACAGAGCCTGACACGGGGCTCGAACCCACAAACTGTGAGATCATGACCGGACCCGAAGTCGGATGCTTAACTGACTGAGCCACCCAGGCGCCCCACCAATCACTTTATTCTAAGGCACTTGGGATGCGTTAGTGAACAGAAATGATCACTACACACATAGAGCTTCCATTCTAGTCTGGGAAAGCAGGCGATGAAAAGAAACACAATAATTAAGTATATTTGAAGGTGATAAATGATAAGGAAAAAAAGGGCAAGGCAGAGCAAGGTACAGGGGATTAGAAAAGACTCGGTGCTCCTAAGGTGGGTGCACATGAAAATAGCCAAGAGGTTACTGTGCTGGCAGCGAAACGAACAAGACAGTGTGAGAGCCAAGAGTGGTGGTCAGAGGGATAAGGAGGTGCCAAAGAACATCAGTCTCACAGGCCAACATTTCTCTTTGTACCCTAATTTTCTAAATAAAACTGGTAAACAGCTTTGAGTTGCCTACAGTCTTATACTTTACATCAATAACATTAAAAGGTTAGAATGACATTCCAAGAGTTCCCAGTCTCTTCATTTGGTGGCAGTGGTCTCAAACTATGATAGAATTTTTACAAATGCGAGATCCATGGGGTATCTCCAGAAGCAAACCAGGATCTCAGGGCTCATAAACCAGAAATGCCCTAAACCACACCCCACTTCCTGGGACTCAGAACCGGCCCGGCCTCCAGATGGTACTTTGGGGGAAAGCTTTTAGCGAGAAAGCCCCCAACATTTTAACAGTCAATTCTCATAAACTGTACAAATAAGTTTCACAGTTGGTTTGGAGGAAAACAAGAGCATCATTAGCAATCTATGGTTCATATAGTTTATGACTGTTTTCAGAAGCCACCATTGCATTCATATGCAAATAGTCACAATGCTTCTGATGTCCTGGACACCAGCCACCAGGGACAAACCTTAATATAAAAGTCTTATTTACTTAAGGCCTAAAGTAGGAAGCTACTTTGCATTATACCAAAACTGTATTCTTATTAGCCTAATCCAGAATTTTATAAATTCTCTTCAATATTAGATTTCATAGCTTTCTCCTTCTAAAGATGACAGAGGAAAATCATGAATCACTAAAAAGAGAGAAATACAATTATGACTCTAAATATAAAAAAGCGACTGAATTATGGGAGTGACCTGCTCGGACAAGCTCTGAGCAGTCTCAAGAAATACGCAGATGTTAAATACTCAGTAAATTTAATATCACAGGTAATTATAAAAAGCACAAGAATATTCAGAATCCTGGCTAACTCTTTAATCTGCAATCTCTACTTTCAAAGAGTCTAGGACTGAAAGTAAAATCACCTCTTATGCCCTTTATCTAATTACCCTTCAATGGAAAACAATTATTTTTTAATATTAGAATCAAGAAAGTTCAGTGTATACCTTGTTGAGTTCTTCTATCCTCCTGATTAGGTACGGGTTACTAGAGGAATTCTCGAAGTAGACATAATCTGTAATTAAAGGAAGAGCTTAATCTTTTCAACAGAAAGTTCACATTTGTCAATCTATGACTTTCTGTATTAGGCAATTCACATCCAAAATGAAGCTCGTAATTCATTCCCTGATAAAAGCAAATTTAGTAATACAACTTTAATGTATTTCCTCATATGCCTACCATTCACAGACCCTTATTTTCCTGGCATTTTCATTTCAATTAATGTTTTATCAAGTTCTCCTAGACTTCCATGCCACCCATCACTTCTTTAATAATAAACAAATAGGCCCCTCTTCTCATCATTAAGTAGTCAGAGCTGACTAAACATGTCTTTCATGCTATAACTGCCTCCACATCTTTTCCCTCCAATCCAATTTACCCTGGAGTATGCTTCTCACATAAAACTATTGACCTAAGACAGTTTCAGAGCATCCTGAAAAGCTTAGCAGCCCAAAGTACATTTCAATCACTTAAGAAAACAAGGGAAAACAAAACAAAAACCAATCAGGTGAGCGAAGCAAGTAAGAGGAAGCACACTGACAAACTTTTCCACAGGTCAATCTGAGGTGATTGGGTGGGCAGCAGTGTAGGGACATGAAAAGGGGTTCACTTTCTGAGAGAAAGAGCTCTCTAGGGACCTCAAGATTTTTAAAAAACTCTTTACCATATTTAATCAAAATCCACGTAAGGTTTTATTGTCAAGAAATCACTACCGGCTTTCAATAAACAAATTTTCAAGGGTGGCTTTTCCTCTCATCTAATAGGCTCACTGGAAACTTCCCACTGTGTGTTTATTTGAGAGGTTGGGCTGCGTTGTTATTGTCTATCTTAGTGGCTCTTTCCCGTCTCTCTTCTGCAAAGTGGCCTCATTTAGCCAGGCCATTCCCACCACCATCCATCAGGAGCTCAGCTAATGAGCAGAGAAGAGCGAGTCTCACACACAAACACGCCACTTATCTGAATTATTATTTTACCAAGAAAGAGGGAGGAGGGCGTCGTGAGTAGGGAGAAAGTTTGTTTGACCTTATTTCTCTCTACTGCAGAAGGCTGGGAAGGAGGCAGACACCAGAGCAAACGTCCAGGCAGAGCTCAACTCCCCACCTCTGGCTGCGGTGCCCTGGCCCCACTGTACCCCATCTTGGGGGGCTGGGCAAGAAACGGGGGTGGGGGGGGAGAAAGGAGAAGTGCAGGGCCCCGTCCCTGCAAACAGGCCTGTCCAGCTGTGCCCCTGGCTGAGCCCCCATTGCCCTCACCCCCACCCCCACCCCACTCCCACTACAGCGGAGGAGTAGAGGAACGGGGGTGTCCCCCCATCCTCTCCAACACCCACAGCGTGGAAGCCACGCGGGGAAAGACCACCCTATTAGGGGGTTCGACGGCCCATACCCAATGCGGGCGTCCTGGAGGGGGGCGTCTGATAATTCACACCCCTAAGTACAGGCCTGGCCCTAGAAAACTGAGTGGGGGTGGGAGCGAGGGGGAGGGTGGGCGCCGGCCCCAAGCGGGCCACAGTCGAGGGAGGGGCGGGTGGCGGGGGTGGGAAACCCCGGTCCCTTCGGCGGGCCCTGGCGCCCCCCGCCCCTTGCGCCCTCGGCTCCCAGCGGTTAGGATGAACTCGCCCCGATCCCCGACTCCCGAGCCCGCTCCCAGACGGGCCGGGTCGGGCCAAGCCTTCCTACCTCCGACCCGGTACATGTTGGCCGCCATGTCCGCCCGCCCGCCCGCGGAGCCCGAGCCGAGCCCCGCCCGCCGCCGCCGCCGCCGCAGCCGCCGCCGCCGCCTCAGCCTCGGCCGCCGCCGCCGCCGCCGCCGCCGCCGCCTCGCCACGGGGGGGAGGGGAGGGAGGGACCGAGAGGAGGGGGAAGTGAAGGGGAGGGGACGCCACGGGGTGGGGGCAGGTTACCGCCCCCAGCGACGGGCTTGCGAGGCCGAGTGGGCCGGGCCGGGGGAGGTCGCTGCGGGGCCGGCAAGGACTTGGGGAGGGCGGTGGCTTGGGGGCCCTTGCTGAAAGTGGAGGACCCTAGGGCAAGGGTCGTGGCCGAAGCGGAGGCCTGTACTCGCAAACGCGGACCTGGAGCTGTTAGAGAATTGGGGTGGGGGCAGGGGCTCAGGTTCTCCCGGGCCGGTACCGCCTCAGCCAGCACCCAGTCACCTGGCCACCTCCAGACAGGTCTTCCTCCGTGCTCTGTCCCTGGGAAGCCCCTGCGTTCGAGACCTCTAGCACATGGGCGCCAGCCTCGAGGCAAACACTTGGGTACAAATATGTGCACGCCGCAGAGCACCTTCCTTGTGGTGACGTTAATGCAATGGGCCTGTAGCCTGCACACCTTGGGGCCAAGAGGATCCCAGGTGCTTCCAGCATCCCCAGGGAAAGTCAGCTGGGGACAAGTGTAGAAAAACTGACGCCCTCCCAAGTTTACCCAACTGCATTGGGGGTCTGTCAGCGTTCACCCCAAAACTGGGCTGAACAGAACCCACTCCCCCACAAGTGGAGGCCTTGCCTCTAGACAGGCCCTACACAGTGCTGCCCTGCCAGCAAAAGAGGTCCTTAGAGAAGGGGGAAGGGTTCTTTTTGCCCATAGGGGAACAGGACCCTACATTTCACCACCAGCCACAAAGGAGGAGATAGCTTAGTCACCTTGCCATTGATAGACCGTTAACCAGTTATGTGCCTAAAGCTTTTAAATCATTATTAGGGGCGCCTGGGTGGCTCAGTCGGTTGAGCGTCCGACTTTGGCTCAGGTCATGATCTCACGGTTCCTGAGTTCGAGCCTCGCGACGGGCTCTGTGCTGACTGCCAGCTCAGAGCCTGGAGCCTGCTTTGGGATTCTGTGTCTCCCTCTCTCTTTCTCTGACCCTCCCCTGCTCACGCTGTCTCTCTCTCAGAAATAAATAAAAAACATCTGAAAAAATAAATCATTATTAATTTCCCAAGCGAATTCTCTAGGCAACCCCTATGCTCTCAGCCTTCATTCCCTTACAGGAAACAAACAAAAAAGTAGAGTTAAATCTTAGCTGGCGATCCCCCAAATGTATGCAAACAACTTTCTTTAAAAAGCCAATCCATTCCAAACTACTCCCGGACATTGTTGTATAATCAGCATATAGATGATCCCTCACCTTCTGGGCTGTTTGGAGTTTCTGGTGATTTACAGCTACATGTTGGTGACTCTGGGTGTGGGGTCTGTGCAGGGATGGGAAGTGTCCCCAGAAAAGAAGATTGTGTTTTGTTTGTATGGTGATGGCATTTGTGATGGTCTAGTATCACAACTTACTCAGTTAAAAAAAATTATTTTCCACATAGCTGAGGCAAAGTAAAAAAATAAAAATAAAGCAATTTTGCCTGAATTACCTTATGTGTGACTCAAGTTTCTTCAGATATAAAATGGGAACATTGGGGCGCCTGGGTGGCTTATCGGTTAAGTGTCCGACTTTCGCTTAGGTCATGATCTCGCAGTTCGTGGGTTCGAGCCCCACGTCGGGCTCTGTGCTGACTGCCAGCTCAGAGCCTGGAGCCTGTTTCAGAGTCTGTGACTCCTCTCTGACCCTCTCCTGCTCACGCTGTCTCTCTCTCTCTCTCTCTCTCTCCTAGAAATAAATAAAACATTAAAAAAAATTTTTTTTTTAAATAAAATGGGAACATTAATTCCATTTCACAGGTGAGTTGAGGATCGGTCGTGATGATATATGAATATGCTTTATAAATCATTCAGCACAGAGCACTATGAAAATAACAGGTGTCTGTTGCTTTTTATTAACTCCATAATGTTTCAGATTCCCAAGGGTTTTATGCCATGTGTACAATGTGAGCCTGTGTTAGCTCTGCTGACCCAGAGAAAAAAGCAGAAGTGTTTTGTTATGCACACTGAATAATTGTTGTTTATCATCATCCTTTTACTGGAGATCCCACGGAAAACATATTGTGACATATCTGACATCACTCTCTCCATTTCCATGTGACACATAAATAGGTTGAATAATTCATCTGGAGTCATCCAGTAAACTGGTAGCAGTATTGGGATTATAATTCAGCCCTTTCCTCTGGCCTAGAATTCTCTAAACCAGGAAGCCTTTTGTCAAGTGAAAAGGCCACCTGTAAACCATAAACTACAAAAGAATGGATCACAAGCTTTAAAGGCTTTGACCACTCAATTATTTTTAAATAAATGAGCAATTTTTCCCCTTCAAAATATTTCTGTATTTCTGTTAGTTCTGTATTTCTGTCTCATTCCTCCAGCTGTGTGCACCTTACCAGGTATTTGTGGTGACTGTACTAACCATAATTAATGGGCAAAAGGTGCCAAGAAAACGTCCTCCATCCATACCCACCTCGTTTCCTTAGGAACAGTCATATCCAGAAGTCCCCAATGAAAGGCCTCAGAGACTGGGGGGGGGGGGGGGGGGGGGGGGGGGTTGGAGCAGGAAGTATGATCATGTCAGAACCCAGGGCCTTTTCCTTCCTGTAGATTCTGTATATTCAATGTCTTCTACCTCCAGCTCCTTGGCCTGTGTCTTCTACATAGTACATGCTCAATATCTGAAAGCACAGAATACCAATGATGGGCTCAGTATAGTTAGAGAACTAGGTACTGATTTGAATGCAAGGACTTTGTCTATGAAACCTATATACCTCCTAATATCAAAGAGGTACTGCCGAAATGGAGTTTAGCAAATGTTTAGAGATTAAAAGAAACCCTCAAATCAGAGAAAGGGTGGAAAAGTCTTTACCGTCAAAGGAAGCAAAGGTACCTCTACCTCCAGAGGCTGTGTGGTTCAGATCACCACAAACTTGTCGTCCACCAGCTCAAACCTCACTCCTAGTTTGGCTATTTAGCTGTAAGACTTTGAGCAAGATACTTGCCCCTCTGAGCCTCAAATTCTTCAAAAAATGATTAGGGATTGGGACCTATAGCAAAGGCTTGTGCTAAAAATTAAAAATATAAAGTGTTTGACACATATTAAGAGTTTCTGGGGTGCCTGGGTGGCTCAGTCAGTTGGGCGTCCGACTTTGGCTCAAGTCATGATCTCATGGTTTGTGGGTTCGAGCCCCACGTCAGGCTCTGTGCTGACAGCTAGCTCAGAGCCTGGAGCCTGTTTTGAATTCTGTGTTTCCCTCTCTCTCTGACCCTCTCCTGCCCATGCTCTCTCTCTCTTTCTCAGAAATATATAAAATATTTTTTCAAAAAAAAGAGTTTCCTATGTATTAGCTCCCTTCGCTCTATGCCAGCCACCCTCACCACTAAGGAAGAGGTCTCTTAGACCTTACCAGAAATCCCAGGGCAAATCCAGCTTTCTGTGGGAAAAATTTCCAGGCACAGCTATTGTGATTAAGGAATCATGGTAAGGTGGGGGTGGTGCTTGGGTGGCTCAGATAGTAAGCATCTGACTCTTGATTTGGGTTCATGGTGAGTATGGAGCCTACTTGGGAATCTCTAGTTCTCTGTCTCTCTCAAAATAAATAAATAAACGTTAAAAAAAAAAAAAAAAGAATCACGGTAAGAGATTGTCTAAAGGCCCAGTGTGTTCCTTATGCTAGTTTCTAGCATCCTACCACTTAGCTTAAGAGAAATGGATGCTCAAAAAAGCAGTAAGTGGGGACTCCTGGGACACTCAAGTCAGCTGAGTGTCTGACTCTTGATTTTGCCTCAAGCCATGATTCCAGGGTCATGGAATCAAGCCTCAGGACAGGATCCAAGCTGAGCATGGAGCCTGCTTAAGATTCTCTTTCTCTCTCCCTCTGCCCCTCTGCCCTACTCACACTTTCTCTGTAAAAAAAGAAAGGAAGGAAGGAAGAAATAAATGAGATAGAGTTGATTTTTGTCTCAATCTAAGGATAGAGTTTTCATACAGGTGCTACAGAGCTGGCCATGGAATCTAGAAGCTTTGCGATATTGTGATATTGGATATTGGAACTTGGGTGGGAGAGGGGTGTCTAGAATCTAATTAATCTGAAATTAGATGCCAGGTTGTGGATAAAGGATTACATCTCTTTTTAAAAAATTTTAAATGTTTTTTATTTATTTCTGAGAGAGAGAGAGAGAGACAGTGTGAGCAGGGGAGGGTCAGAGAGAGAGGGAGACACAGACTCTGAAATAGGCTCCAGGCTCTGAGCTGGCAGTCAGCACAGAGCCCGACGCAGGGCTCGAACCCACGAACCATGAGATCATGACCTGAGCTGGAGTCGGACGTTTAACCGACTGAGCCACCCAGGCGCCTCTAAAGGATTATATCTTATTGTTTGTGTTTTCTATGATTTGTTTCTCTCTCTGTGTGTCTCTCTTTTTTTCTTTTCTTTCACTAACTTGTTTTGTTATTTAGTAAAATTCTTTTGGAAAAAGGCCAGCCTGTCTCTGATATCCTAAGGAGGTCCTAGGTTTTAAAGGCATATGTAAATGTATCCTAGGAGAAAGCTAAGCATGTAACAGCAAGAATCAAAGCAGGGAGCCCCTGAAGGAAAGGAAAGGAGAGGAGAGTCAGGAGTTGTGTAGCTTCGAGAGTCAAGGAGCTTCTCTTTCCATCCATCTCTGTGCTGAAAACATGAAGCTCAAGGCTAATCCCAGGAAGTCTTGGTTTTTGGAAATGTGCTTTTTAGGATTCTATGGTTTTCTAATGCCCTCAAAGGGGATCTGGCTCAGCCATTGGGTTGCCACTCTAGTGACAGCATTTCTTCCATGTAGCAGAAAAGGGACAAGAAATCACAATGGGGACAAGCATGAGCCCC